AACGACTTCAAAAGCCCTACTTCTTTTCTTTTTTATGACAGTGTTAATTAGGCAAAGGTGCCATCTATTCCTTTTTATTTGACTAAAATCAAAAAAGAACAGCTACGTATATAAAAAGCAATTTTTAAATACCAAATATATTTTTGACACAGATTTTTTAAACATACACATTTTTCTTTAAGTAATTATATCATCAATGAAAACATTTAATCAATGATAAATATTTTTTTCGACTACTCTGATAAGATTTACAAATAATATATTAATAATATGCGTCATCCCCCTCTTCCTGTTCAATAGTCGTTCCAGGATTCATGTTGTGTCTTACCATTCCTTATCTTCCAAGCTATTGTGAAAATTTTGAGACGAATTTAGTTCAATAGTAGACATTTTCGTCGATATAGATCACACAACGCACCCCGAAATCTCTACTGCGGATATTCACGACTTTTAGAAATACCCTTGATTTACAGTGTACATTCTCAAAAGATGTTGGAACACTTTCGAGAGAGCAAGTATGAGCAAATTTGTGAAGAAAAATGACATTGTAAAATTCAGCTATATTTTCCGTGTTACGTATACGGATGCATAAGAACAAAACAAAAGGGTGAAGAAAAATAGAATCATCAAATCTTATTCAGATGTTAATTAAAATCTTACATTATCTTAGTAAGAAAATTTTAAGAAGTGCATAATATAAGAGTTCTAGTAGGAAAAGATGGTCAACAACGAACAACATACCTTTGTCTAACAATAATGGATGAACAATGTTATATGGCAAGTGGTCTACAGCAATTTTAGAGTTATAAAAAACATAGAATAATTTTCTGTGACTATCTATACGCTGTAAGTTACTCGTGTCGCTTTTAAATAAACATTATTTAGTTTGAAGGAACTGAAACGTTTCCAGTACCAAGATGAAAGTAAATTCCTATAAACTGTATATGTGCGATTTGCATTGATATTCTACCGTTGATATTCGAGAAGTAAAAAGGAAATTTGAATTTTTATTTTATTTTATTTGTCTAACGTTTGCCCACTATCACCAAGGGTAGCAGCTTTTTAGCTGCTTTGTTACTGCGATATAATAGTTGCCTTATCGTACGCCAAGATATTTGGTGCCCTACATTGTAAAAAATAAAGTAGGTCAGTGACCTACTGAATGACCCATCTAAATGCATCCGTTTTACCCATTGAGGAAAACTAAGGAAACTGTGACTTCAGTAGGCCAGTGAGCCAGTGTTAGTGTATCTCTGAGTTACACAGATGACTTAGTGAGTCGTAACCTATCTAAATGGATCCGTTTTACCTACTGAGACGATTTTACTCACTGGTGATCCACTTTATTTTTTACAGTGTGAGTGCCATTGAAAAATGAATTTTATCTACAGACAGAATGAGTTCTAATTCTTTTTCTTAAAAATAATTTGAGACTGAAGAAACTTGCTCGAAATATATAAATGAATTAACGATTTAATTCAATTTTTGTATGTAAATAAATCAAAATAATGTTACTACAGACACTTTGGTCTTTTTCTGTGCCATAAGATTGAATCTCGCATATCTTAGCTGAAACTAAACACAACCCTGATCCAAAATAGCCAAATGATAGCCTACTGATTGTGAATTATTTTGGTAAAAGAATAAAAGATCAATACTTTCCTTACTGTAGAAAGTGACAACTACTTTTTCTGAAAACAATCTTCACACACACTAAATATTCCGTGAGATTTTCAATTTTACTTTCCGTTAATACTCAACTTTTCGCAGCGATTCTTGTATTCTTTTTTCCCTTTGCGATGTACAGCATATGTGCCAAAGCTGTGGCTCAAAGCATTTTGTCCTTCCTAAGAAAAATGAATTTCACTATAAAAATGTCCGGCGAGATTTTTCAGTTCGCAATGTCCTCTGCGATTAAACTCATCATGTTTCCATGAAAAATACACTAAATTTACCTTCATCGTGTACCATTTGATAAAACTTGACGATATAAATCTAGCCGTGTACGTCTAATAGCCTTGTCACGTAGTAATTGTTTTTTTGAAGTTGAAGAATCTAGAATAATATATTTTCTCAGAAGTTTGCATAAAAGAAGCTTTTGCTAGCAATAAAATGCATTTTGAATCGCACATCATTAGAGAGACCTCATTAAGATCTATCGACTGATGTCTTAGAACAAAATTTTCATCGCCATTTTATGTCATCTTCATCGAAATGGGCTCGAGGGTTATTATGCTTTTCGTAGCGAAAATTCGTTTCCTAAGAAAAATGAAAGTAGCACCTAGTTTTTTATTAGCAGTTAGTTCAAATTAGCTTTTTATCATCGCTTGGGCTATCAGAATTTACTGAGTAGGCAAAAAAAAGCCCAAGACATTTTATATTTTATGGTTTTTTTACCAAAACGGTACAATACCAGCGTAAATCGCGCATATACTATCTCCATCGTTTAGTATCATAAGATGAATCATCCATATCCGAGTCGCGATATCTCAAAAATCCATAAAGTAGATGATTGAGCTTTACGTTAGTAAGAAATGTAGAATATAATCAATAAACTTGTTTTTGGTACTTCCCTATGTGTCCACTATTACAGTTTTGCTTTGTGACATGACATGCATGTGTAGTTTGAAATTTTTGCTTGCTCACTGTTACATATATCTAGGTGAGATGTGTCATGCATGTCATGATAAGAAAGCATTTTCTATTCATTGTTATTCTATCTTCTTTTCTTTCTTATCTCTTCTACATAAATATCGCGAAACTAACTTTCATTTTCACAAGTAAATCTTATACACACTGTCAGGATGTTATTCAAGTCAATTATTCTAATAGTCGCATTAGTAACTGTGTACGGTCAGGTACCCATTCCTACTCGTCCCGATGGCTTTGCTGTTGGTCCATTTGATGCTCATGTAGTAGTAGAAATGTATGGTGATCTCATCTGCCCCGGATGTAAAGCAGCATGGCCAACTGTGTTGAAACTAATACAATATTATGGCCAAAAAATTCAATTTGTTCTTCATACGTTTCCGCTGCCCTACCATACAAATGCATTCATAGCCGCACAAGGTCTTCATGTGATAGCGAATGTTACCAATAGAGATTTAAATTCCATCTTGGCTTATACTACACTTGTATTTGAAAATCAACAACTTTGGTATAATCAAGCAACGATCAACGTATCCATGACAGAAGTCTTACAAAGTTTAGCAAATTTTGTTGACAAAACTCAAATAACAACCGCTGACAAATTCATTCGAGGTTTACAAGATGATGAAATTAATGATCACACGAGAATTTCATGGAAATATGCATGTAGTAGAGGTACCATATTAAACTATTAATATGTTGGTTTCAGTTTCAAGAAACCTTACCCTTCTTGTTTTAGGTATTACTGGTACACCGAGCTTTATGATAAATGGTGTTGCTGTCAGCGCGGATGCGTCATGGTCATTGGACGATTGGAAATCTGTTATTGATCCTCTATTAGCTACACAGCGCCCATCATTTACCCCATCTGCAAATGATGACTGTCCAACTGGTCAAACAAAGTGTACCTATGCTCCACACAAAACTCAATGCTGTCTAAACGGTGAAAGATGTATACCAAACGTTGGATGTAGATGTTAACATTTTTCACTTTCTAAAAATATAGTTTTTTGTGAACGTGGTGATTTTTGATCGAAGCAAACAAAATAAAGTCGTTTATATAAAAACACATGTAGTAAAACGATCAAAGTTTTCTTTTAAACTATCCATTTCAGTATATAAAAGGCATCATTATCTTTAGACGATTTGACACAACAAAAGACAAAGGTCTATCGTTTTAGTCAAGATTCGACGTCACTGACAAATGAAAAAAGCAAAGCGAAAAAAACATCCGCAGTTTGAATACTTAACCCTTGGACGGTGTTCTCATTTTATCACACAAAAGGTGTTATGTGGGTCCAGTGGGACCCACATGTAAATGAGTTAGAAGAATTTGATTTTTTTTGTCTATTTTGTGCTAGATATAATGAATCAAAGCCTATATCATGATTTTTTCAAACTCCCTTCATATTTGTCTTAATAAAGCACTAGATCTTTATAGAAAAAAAAGGATCTCAAGTAGCGCGTTTTTATAGAGATCAGTTTGAAAAAGCGGAATTTATTCAAACGAGTAAACATATCGTGCCCTGCATTCTCATCTCATACGTTTTTATTTTTCGAACTTCATTTTCTTCCTATAGTCATGATAGATTTGTGAAAGTAAAGTCAATCTACAAGCAGTAGACCGGTTAACTGATGTAAATAAAAGATCGTATGTTAACGTATTAAGATCTTATGAATTCTTCTAAATTAATTGTATAATCTATCTTACCGAATTCTTATCAGAATCTTATAAAATTCATATATTCCTTCGTATAAGAATCTTGTCAATATCGTACTCATTTCCACCGACTCCCTTATATAAAATTCTTATAAGATTTCTATAGAATTGCCGTAAGATCGGTCGACTAGGGTCGTGACAATGACCAAAGGTGATGGCAGAAATATTTCGACAAAAATATAACAAAATCCGTCAGACAAAGATAAAAAAGCACATGATTCACTATTGACAGCGTTGAAGTAACGAATCTTTGGTAAATAAACGCTCGAGACAATAGAGGGCAGATATAATATGAATAAAAATCATCTGTATAACACCAGAGTTGTCAAGGGGCCCATGTGGACCCATACTTCAGTTTTTTTAAGGGTAAGACTTTTGTACGAAATTTCATATGGCTCTTGTGCATATTCTTATTCGCTAGAAGACTAACGATTAGCGGAGAGATGGTTCCGAAAAGGATAGATCTTTAAGTAGACAAAAACGAAAGACAGCGTTGTGGATCTCATCGGACCCACAAAAACCATAGAAGGGTTAATTCGTACTTTTTAAGACAATAAAATTGTATAGACAATTTTGACGTACGCGCTATCTGAAAACTCCTTGTAAATAATATAGTTTCTTATTTATAAACCATGAGCATTGAAGTAATCATATGGCCAATTAGTTTCATGGTGTTTACTATCAAAACACACATTGTTTATCTTAATATTAATACCTCTCAAAATTGTCCTGAATAATAGATGTTACAAAACTAGAGTTCGTTTTGAATTGCATCTACCCTATACGACTTATACGTACAAGAGTCGAGTTTTTAAACTTTAGTCTAGTTCAAGATAAACTAAAGGATTTTCGAAAAAAATTGAATGGATTTTTTGGAATTACCTGTGATGTCAGATAAAAGTAATAGAGTATAAAATAAAAAAATGGGACGCTTATACACTAAAGCCGTCATTGACACCTTCAATTTATTATGTTGAATATGGTGATTGTTTTGATCAATGGTTAATCGAATAGTTATGAGAGAATTGGTTAATATTTGTTCTTAAATAAAGATTTGTTTTGCAAATCTAAGTCGTTTCGTCTGTGGGATAGAGAGATAAATAAAAGAAGCGGCTGCTGAGAGCATCTGTTTTAGATTACAGCTGTGATAAATTAAGCAATTATGTGTAAATCTACATCTGTTTCTCTCACTTAAATATTTGTTCTTTTTATAGATTTTTCAACAAAAGAACCGGCAACCATTGCGCAAATGCTGGACTATTTAAAAGATAGAAAAGACTTTTCTGAATCTAATGAAACGCTCGTTCTTTTTAAAAAAAAACAGAGAAGATATTAAACGTCACTTTTCTAACGTAAAATTTGAAAATATTGATAATATGAACAAAAACAATTTGCAAAACTTAAAAACGAAGTTTTGTCGAAGATTTTCTTCAAAATGTTATTCTCACATTTTGACAAAAAAAACACTGAAATGTGTTGATCACGAAATTTTACGTGGTATTGTTTCAAAAGATGTTGCTTTCAACGAGGAAACAAAGTTTTAATGTATAGGAGAACGTTTTTTATGTCCTATTGAAAGATTATGTTTTTAAAAAAAATTCATTTTCTTCGCAGACTATCAAAGAAATTAGTGAATATCTATGATTGTTCAGCATTTTACAATCTGAATGTTATTTTACGTTATTATTTTACAATGAAACTAGAAATAATTTTACAGAACAAAGAATCTGCTACTTCAGCTTCACACACTTTATTTCCACGTCAAAAATGAAACTAATCGATCCTTTACGCTCTACTCTTTGATTAGTAATAACTTTTTCTTCACAATTATAAGAAATACTCTTCTATTTTTGTGATAACAAAATATATGGATAAATTCTGAGACGGGTACACGCACGATAATTATATAATTCCATCAATAAAATGTGAAGTATCTAGGTTGTACAGTAAGGAAATGCTAAGTAATGGTAGTTGTACTACAATATCTAAAAGAGGCTATTTATTTGAGATGAGTCAATGACGGAATAAATGAACATAGAACTTGTTGAAAAATACAAGCAGAAAAGAAAGAAACTTCCACTAATTTTTTTTTATCTGTCATAATATCGTTCTATTTATTTACCTTCTTATTTTATCAGAAAATTTTAGCTTTTCTTTGTGCTTTCATGTATGTATGTGGTTTACATTGTTAAATATACCTTCGTCACTAGACAAAATGTAGTTTGTAAAGTCATTTAGCTGAACTTAGTTCTAAAAAACATGCTATTTAATCAAATCTTTGCATTCTTTTTAATATTAATTGCAACAGTTTACTCTTGCCCATCATCATTTAATGTCAAATCAAATGAAACATCAGTTTCTTTTCAAACGTCAGAAACACTTCTTGTTGTTTTATCCAAGTCTTCATTTAAATTAACTGTCATTGATCTAATAACACAAAAAGTACAATTAGAGAGTGATATAAATCTTGGATCTGGTTTATGGAGAGGTGCATATGAAACACTCTATTTTGGTTATATGTTTCGTGTTGGAATTGAGGAGAAATATCAGTTGGCTAACTCATTACAGACGTTTGATTGCTATTCAAATAATTCAATATCATTTATATATCAGTCGGAGAATCGAGTATTTAATTTAACATTTTCATCAATCAGTGAACGTAGTTTACACTTACATATTGAAGTGAATCTAAATGAATATGACACTAAGCCATATAATTATGTATTTCCATTCATTTCAATATCATTCAAAACCATTGATAGATTAGACTCAATGAAAACTATGGACTATGAAGATTTCTATGGTTTTGGACAATATTGGGGTTTCACTCGTTATCGTGGTCAAAAACTCTATTGTTGGAGTGAAGATGGTAGTTGGTCATTCCTTAACATATCGAGAAGACTTCCACAAGCAAATGCTAGCTATATACCAATGCCATTATTTATCTCAAATCGTGGTTATGCCGTTTACGTTAATGAAACAAGACGTGTTAATTTTGAATTAGGATTATTTCCTGAACAAATAAAAACTGATCATGATTCATGGACTATAACAACAGAATGGAACTCAACTAATATACAATTTTATTTTCCAAACACTAATTTCA